CTCTCTCTCTCTCTCTCTCTCTCTCTCTCTCTCTCTCTCTCTCCCCTCCTCCTCCTCCTCCTCCTCTAGGTCTTTACTCAACCTTCCTGGCCTAATCGCCCCGGGAAGTTTCAAATCTTCAGCCCCCTGAAACCGAACACTTTGTCTTCTGGTCTTTGTAACCCTTACGCTAGCCCGGGGCCTCGGCTGGAGCTGGTCGCAGAAGCGAGGCTGGATGAAGTTAAGTGAATGGGCCAGCCCTTTGTGGGGGCCCGGGCTAGTTCGGGTCGAAGCGCTTTGTAGCTGTTAAAGCGCCACAAATGCCAGCTTTGGGGAGCCTCGGCAGTGCTTCCGGAGCCTTCCACTTTCCCGGTCGCCTTCAGCCGCAGAGTCTCCAGCTGGGGACTCAGCACAAGGCGGGAGGATCCCAGACTGCGAGGCCAAGAAGGGATGGCAGAGGAGTGGTTGTTGGAAACGAAAGCATCTGAAGGCAGGAAGGACCCCGGTTCGAATACTGACTCTTGGCTAAGTGACCCTGGGCAAGTCGTTTCCTCTCTCTCTCTCTGCCTCAGTTTCCTTATCTTAAACAAAGAAGGGATCAGACTTCTCACCCCCATTTTACGCAATGTAAGAACCGCGCTCCATCCCGAGCCAGTCTTGAGGAAAGCGCGTTGTGAAGTTTCAATTAGTGCTGCAAGAACTCCAGAGATAGTTGTTTACATTGTTAATACCCCAATCCTTCTACGACCTTCCCAGCCTTCAAAGACCAGGGGCCAAGAGCTCGCCCTGGGCTCGGAGCGACTTTGCGAAACCGCATGGACTTTCACGGAGAGGGGGCACGAAAGGAGAGACCACTGCTCCAGGCTTCGGAGTGAACCCCCTGAGCAAAGTGGGGATGTGACATACACAAAGGTACCAGCGCCCTCCCGCCGGGTCTTCCCCAACAAGAGCCAGACCCTGCCCTGGCTCCAGGGGTAACTTAGAATGAGGCCCTTCGGCCCCCCGCTGCAGTCCCTTTCAGGGTCCCCACCCCGGGGTGCGGGGGGAACTCTCTATATTCTTAGCTCCGGGCTGGTGGGCCTGCTTTTATTTTAATTACACTATCTCCTAGGCAGGGAGTGCAGAAAACTGGCCCCATTTTACGGCGGCCTTTGGGAAATCCCAGACAACGGAATTGAGGCTAAGAGAGAAGTCTTTGCCCTGGGGCTTTCTGGAGGCACCCCTGAGTGTCCGTGGACGCCCAGGGGTGACTGCATGCGAGTGCAGAAGCCCGTGGGCGTCCGAGGCGGGCCCTGCAGTTCCCGCACAGACAGGCCCTAGCCGCCCCAGCCGCCGTGGGAGTAGGGGTATTAATGCATTATGCAGAATCTATTAGAAGCTTATTCGCCTCTAATGGACCGTGGAAGTCTTAATTGCTTGCATAAATGAGTGCTGGCCTAGGACCCCGGCCGGGACTCCAGGCAAGGCCGCCGGTCCCCTCCTACAGCGAACTACTGCCTTGGCTGGCCAAGGCGGGGCGGGCCGGCGAAGCTGCTCCTAGACAACTAGCCCCCAAAACCTAGAAAGGAAGAGGAGAGGAGACCTGCCGCGGCCTCGGGATGTCAGTTAGCTAGGACGTGTCTTGGGCTGCGGGTCGCTATCCGCCGTAGCCGCTGGGTTAGCGTTCCCGGATGGACCCAAGAGGTAGGGGCCCCGCACCCTGCCCGACCAGCTCCCTCCCTCTTTCTTTCTGTTAGTTCCCTGGGGGAGATTGCGGCCAAGACAGTTCTCCCGGGCGGGCTGCTGGAACTCCCCCTACCCAGGGCCACAGTGAAGGGCTCCAGGGCTCCTGAGTCCTTTTGCTACGGCTCTTGGAGCTGGACGCTCTCGCTTCTCCCAAGCCCGGCGTTCCGCTCCCTGGTCTTCTAGGGCTATAAACCGTATTCTTTCCTGGCGCTAAACGTGGGACATTCTGACTTAACGGGGTCTAATGAAAAACAGGGGTAGGACGTGGGGGAACCCCCGTCCACTTCTCTCTTTTCCAGGGCTTTGGTTCTGCCTGCCGCTCCCCCCTAGTGCCCAGAACCGGGTCCAGTGAGTGCTTAGTTCGTGGCTCCGCTGGGTCACCAGTCTCTGGCACAAGGAAAGGCGTCCCGGGCTGTCGGCTCTGTTCAGGCACCTTTCAGGGACTCGGAGGGCCGAGATGGAAGCAAGGGACTAGAGTGCAACCAAGGGCTGATGGGGCGAACCCGGCAGAGGAGGGGGAAAAAGGAAGGGTGGCTGATGTATCCTAGCGCCCCGGGGAGGAAGTGCACGAGGCTGCACTACGAACCCCGAGTTTGGAGTTGGAGACCTGGCGTTTGGATCGAGGTTGCTGCTAGATGTGAGACTTCGACTCAGTCAGTCCCCTCTTCCCTAGTCTCCGCGTCAGTTTCTACCCCTGTCCAGATTGCACTAAGAAAAAATGAAGTCTCTTAGGACCCTTCCCACTCTAGGTCCTATGGTCTTAGAACCAGACTCCTATTCCGCTGTCGGCTGCCTGGGCATGCACCTGTCCCGGTGTAACCGAAGCCCAGAGTCTCACCCTCTCCTGCCTTCAGGGCCCTTGCTCCGGGCCCACTGCTCTCTAGGCGAGCACAGCCTACAGAAAGTATGTGTCGCAGAAACTTTGAGGCTGCTTGGTTTTTAAAAGGGGAATCCCTTTTCCAAAGTTGGGGTTAGTCTGAAAATTTCGTCTCTTTTTGCGGGGAGTCTTGGTACGAGAGTCAGAAACAGGGGGAGGCAGCAACTCGGGGGGTGCAATAGGATGGTGCCCCAGAAAACGGCTCTGTCTACCTGGCTGTAGCTCAGGATGCGCTCTGGCGCAGACCCTCCCGGTCCAGGGAACGCTCATCACGGCGTTATTCTGTGAAGTGAGACCCCTTCAATTCGGCAAGACCTAAGCACTAGGGTTTGGAAAGTGAGGAGAAGCTGTGTTTAGCAGCCTGGCGGGATGAGGATTCTGTGTGTGTGTGTGTGTGTGTGTGTGTGTGCGCGCGCGCGCGGGCTTGTGTGTTGGCGGTTATCAAAGAAACCCCGGGGCAGAGACGTGGAGGAGTGCCATCCCCAGACCCCCCTTCCGTCATTCACACGGCTGACCCGCTGATGCCCAGTACACAGCGAGGCTGTGGCAGCTGAGAGGGCTGGTCCCGTCCCACGCACACGCGCACACAGGCAGGCTGGCACTTACCCTCTAGGAGCCTCGGTTCCCCGACGTTCGTCTCTCTGCCTGTCCCGCCTCGGCGAGCAGCGGCCCTGGGCACAGCGGGCGCCGGCGTTGGGCTCTGCCGAGGTGGACAGCCTCTGGCCGCGCGGGTCCTAGAAGTACTGTCGCAGCCGTCTCTGGCTCGGACTGATCCTGAGACGGAGCTGGGCTCAGGATTGCTCGGGGATCCCTCCAGCCTGGGAACCCGCGAGCCTCTCGGTGTCTAAGACTGATCCTGCCCCGAGCACCTGGGAATGTGGCCGGGAGAGTGGAGTTCCGACTGCACTGGTCCTTTCACTGAGAGCCGCCTCCTTATTTTAATCCACACTCCCCCCCGCCCCCTGCCCTCCCGCCTCCCAGCTCTCCCCTCCCCTCCTCTCTTCTCAGCTTCCCTGCCGGGTCCCAAAACCCTGCCCCGCGCCTGCGCACTGGGAAGGAAAGTTTCTGTGCCCAAGCACTCCAGGGGATAGGAAAGGAAGGAACGCAGAGTGGGGAGGCCTTCGGCGCTGCAGCCAGACCAGGCTCCCATCCTCCCTCTCCTCCCTCCATTCGCGCAGCCGGGACCCTAAGCTCCCTGGGCTGGGTGGCTTGAGACACAGCGGGGCCCCGACTGGGGAGTATGCCCGGAGGGCGCACCAGGGCCAAAGGGCAGATAGGATACCCTCCGGGGCACGCTAGGAGTGGACCCGGACCCTCCTCTTAGAGAACCAGGGTCCTATGGGAGGTTGGGTGTCCCCGAGTGTGTCCCCCCCCCCCGGGATCTCGAGTGACTGCTGAGTGGCTGAGTGGCCGGTCTCTCTTGGACCGCGGTTGGCTCCGGAGGGGAGGCCCCAAGCCTGTCACTCCTGGCTTGCTCTCGGCCGGGCTCATGCCCCTTTCGGCCTTCCCCGGAGCTTCGGAGGACCCACTCGGGGCATTCTCAGCAGGGATGGGCTAAAGGGGGAGTTTGGTCTCACGCAACAGCCATAGCCACACAGAGTGAAAGGGCGCCTTTACCCCTTTGGCGCCCCAGGAGTTTCCAGAGAACCAGAAAGAGCAGTCCCGGCTGGGATAACCAGGCGGCAGCAGGAGTCCAAGGGCAGGGCGGCCCCTACTGGGAGCGCCGACCGGGTGGGGTGCAGACTCAGAAGGCACCTCAGCGGTCCCGTGAGGGAATCGGTGCTCTGGCACCAGCTAAGGCTTTGGTCCTGGCGCGGTCCCTTCATCGAATCTGCTCGGAGATGGCGCGAGGGCCAAGGAAGGTTGCCCCGTAGGTTCACGGCAGGGCTAGGCTGCCTCTGGCCGGCCCTATCACCACCTCGACCCCCCAGCCCTCGGCTATTGTACCAGGATGGTCAGAAAGGCTGAGGAGCGGGAAGGAGAGGGCTGTGCGGAGCAGAGTCCACCTGGACTTTAGGACCACCCAAGGAAGGTGTGCCTGCTGTGAGCTTGGGTGGGTTTTGTTTGGGTGATGGGTTCGGGGTCTGCGACGAGGATACTCGTCAAAGCTCCTTAGAGCCATCCACGGGCCCTTTCCCAATTCTGCTGAGCCAAGAGTCCGGGAAGGATTATGTTTGTATGTATGTGTATGTGAGGGTTTTACGTGTGTGCATGTGTGCATGCGTATGTGAATATGCGTGTGTGCGTTTATCACTTCCTTTTCTATGTTTTTCTATTCTGTCCTTCCCTATCTTCCTATGTCTGCTTGCCTGCCTGTCTCTTGTTCTCTCTCCGTCTGTCTGTCTCTTTCCGACTGTCTTTCTGCACCCTCTGTTTCTCTTTCTCGGTCTGTCTCTCTGCTGTCTCTGTCTTTCTTTGTCTCTATTTCTCCACTTCCATTCCTCCTGCTTTCTCTCCACCACGCCCCCCTCCCACCTTTGCTTTGCTGTGCCCTCTTCGCAGTACTGTGCTCACCCTCACGTAAGGCTTAAAATCCTGCCCCAGCCCTAGCGCCTTCCCCAGGGCCTAACGGCGGAATCCTCCGATCTCAGATCCCTAGCCTCCTGGCCTAGAAACCAGCGGCCGGATAAGGCTCTTCACTCCGGGCCTGTTTTAACAGATTTCTTCGCGGGTTGCAGTCATTCCCCCAGCCTCTGCGTAGTCTTTCTGTCTGCCTGCAGAGGGCACCTGCCGGATGGAGGAGGTGCGACAGGTCCTGGGGCGATGGGGCTGCAGAGACCGCGGGGTATTTAAGGTGTATCCCCTCTTCCCCCCCACCCCCACCCCACTGCAGAGCTCCCACCGAACCGAACTACCTGGACATCCGCCGCAGTGGCCACTGTGGATTGCCTCTGCCCAGGCTCAGGCTGCTGCGTGGCCATAGGATTCCCAGTGTCCAGCATTGGATGATTTTGACCTCTCCCCTCACCACCCGCACCCCAGTCCCCAGAAAAGCACTTCTCTGCAGGCGGCAGAGCCCCTCGGGCTTTGCCTCTAAGTCGAACTTTTTTGGTTGACCTGGGGCTGGGGCGGGGAGGGGGTGGGGGATTGAGGACCGAATCAGAGCAAAAGCAAGAGGCCTATGGCCTCCCCTGCGGCCTAGGCTAATGGGCGCGGGACAACCTTAGAGCCAGTGTGCTTTTGCTCATTCAGGCGCTCCGCTGCCTGCCTGTACCCAGAGGCAGAGCCCCAGCTACCTGGGCCCCACCTGAACCCAGAACCACTGCGGGTGAGTTCCCATGCCCGGGCCCGGGACCTTTCTGACTACAGCTCCAGAAGGTTGGGAGGGCGCTGGAGAAAACTCCTTGAAGGCCTGTCTCAGGCTCCTCTGCATCCTGGCCCGGCTAAGCTGCAGGCAGCCCGGGATCTGCAGACAGCCCGGGTCCGAGTGGGAAAGCTGGGGTAGATCTTCGGAGAATAAGGCAGATGCCAAACCTGGGCCGAGGGCAGAAGCCAGAAAGTGTTTCCTAACCCTTATTCCTCCCTCCCCTCTCCACCGCCATCTGGGTGAAAGGAAAACCGAGTGCGAACCGGGCACCTCAGGGTCACCAGCTCTCTTCTCTTCCAACCCCTACACCTCCCTAGGTCGGCCCTTTGGGGTCCGGGCCATGCTCGCGCTTCCCATCCTCTCTTCCCTCCTGCCCTGGTCTCGCTCCAGGCATCTCTCTCAACTCATCCTTTCCTGGCCCTGCGACCGAAGCTCTCGGAGCAGCGATCCTGCCCTCCGGAGTAAGCAAGCTGCTTTCGCTCCGGGTCTGACCAGGAGGGGAAATTCCTTCAGACCTAGAACCTCCTGCTTCCGCAGGTTCTCCCTGGAGGTTCCCTTTACCCTTCTCCCGGTCTTTGCCCAGACTTTGAACTGGAGCTGGCATTTGCAATTTAAACTCTCGACCAGTTCCAGTCCCACAGATGTAGGTGCCCCCTACAACTCCCCACTTGCCGCAAAAAGAGGGCCTAAAGGGACTTCGGGAATTTAGGGCCCTAGCGTGAGGAAGGGCGGGTGTCCTGAGGTCTGCGTCGGGTGTCCCGGCTCTAGGACCCTCGGAAAACTCCGCTGGAGGCTTTTTTTTTTTTTTTTTTAACAACGCGGGCTTCCAGGACCAGGCAGCTGCGGATAGGTGGCTCGGAAGCTTGGGGTACTGGGGAGCTGGGCCCACAGAGGGAACCGCCAGCCTCAGCTCTTGGAGCTCTGCTTTCCGCAAAGGGTCAGAGGTCCTAGCAGCAGCTTGGCCCGCGAGCGAGCAGAGCCGCACGTTGGGTGGGGTGGGATCGCGGGGCACAGATTTTGCTTCTCTGGGCCTGGTTCCCAGTCTTTCCCTCAGCCCAGTCCCCTCTGTCAGTCTCCCCTCAGTCCCCTGGGGCCGATCATCCTCTGCTCAGAGCCTCAGAGCCTCCCCTGCCATTCACTCAATGAGAGCGGAAGCAAAACGAAAATCAGCATCCTCAAAGGGCTGGCCCCGGCCCGCCACCGCCGGCTTTGAGGCAGCCGTGCCCCCTGTCCGGGTGGGGTGGGGAGTCCTGAGGAGTGAGCCCTGGGCCAGGCTCTCCCCAGCAACAGCAGCAGCCCCTAGAGACCGGGCGCATCGGTCGAATCCTCCATGCGCTCAGAGGCTGCGGAGAAATTCTCAGAGTTCCCCCTCTATTCTCCATTCCTCCTTGGAAAGAACCTGACAACCCTATCCAGGCCAGTCCCATTTCACGATAAGATCCCGGTGGGGGACAGGGGGGAATCGCCTTTCTTCCTCTTGGGCCTCCACCCCCCGAGCTGTGGCAGGCTCTAGGAAGCCCTTCTCATCCTGGGATCGACAAGGTCCCATTAAAACTGTGTGTAGTTTGGGAGGCCTTGGAGACCTCAGTTTTGTTCTCTGTAACATGGGAGGGTCGGACTAACTGTTCTCTGTGGTCTTATTTGTGCTGGTTGTGAGTTCAGTAGCCTTGAGTCGGAACCACGGCGGCTTCCCCGCTGTGTGGCCCAGGGGTCTCATCAGCACCCGGGTTCTCCAGAGAAACGCAACGGACCCAACAAGGCACGAAGAGAACAGGGGTGAGGAACCTGCAGCCTCGAGACCTTGGGGCCTCAGGTTCCCCACCCCTGGTAGAACTAAGAGATTCAGGAAAGGGCCTCCCAGTAGTTTGTGGGGATTATTGGTGTTATTCTTTGACTAAATTCGGTTAGGAAGTCCGCGGGAAGGGGGAGGAGGAAGGGAGAAGTATCTCTTGGTTTGCAGCATCTGGTTCCCAAACTGCAGCCAGAGGCGTGCCTGCGGCCCTGAGCTTCCGTTCTATTCTAGAAGTACTTGGAGCCGGCTCTCCCAGGCTCCCCACAGCCCCAGCAGCCTCTCCCGGGCCCGCGAGAGCTCCCCACTGGCTAGCCTCCTCAGTCACAGACATGCCGCAGCCCCTCTTTTCTACGGCCGTGGGAGCGAGTGAGAGGGCCGGGGATGACTCGGGATATAGAGCCCTCTCTTGCCCTCTCAGGAGCCCAGCCCCACCCCTAGTAGCTAAGAGTAGGGGGAGAGGGGACCCACTCTCTCACAAGCCCCAGGTTCGAGGGAGGGAGCTCTGTCGAGGTCGCAGGAGCCCCCTGCTTTTCCCGACCCTGGCCCCCCCT